AGTCTGACAGAAAGGTGAAGGAACTTGAGATCTGAGAAAAGTCTGTTGGCTTCACAGTGTCGGATAACATCCACCTGCTACTCAGATGTACAAGAATTGTGAGTATACAATTAAATTCTTAAGAGACTACAGGGGAACATCAGTGGAGACAGACAAGAGAACAGATTGGAGTATTCAGCATGCCTTAGAAGAAAGGACCAGAAATTCACAGTCCAACTAGACCTGAGTTGGAAATCAACTCATCAACCAATCAACTCCATCAACCACTAGCTGTGTAACCTCAAGCAAGTTACTTAACCTCTCTGAGCCCCCAAATCTCATCTTTAAAATGGAGACGATCATACATATCTGGCAGGGGTGTTGTAAAATTAAATGAGAGAGTACATGAAAAATATCTGGTATATAGTAAGAACTCAGGAGATGTCAGTTCTACATCAAACTGGCCCATGCCTTAGCCCAAGGTGCTAATTTTTTAGTAATACAAAGGCTGTGATTTGACACCATTGGCTTTCCCCACCTCTAGCATTCTTTCTGTTACTGAAGAGATGGAGAAAATGGAAACAATATCAAGCAGGCTGCAATAAACGAGAATAAACCCAGGCACAGAATCTCTGAGTCCTGGGTATTGACTGAGCTGACCCTGTTCAATATGGAACAGCTGCTCTGATGAGCCTTGCAGGGCCTGTGCCTGCCCCATGGTCGAAGGCAGGCGCCCCACATCTGCCTGTTAACACCAGCCAAAACAGATCCACGTGGTGAGCCAAACTGGGTTGTACAAACAGTGATAAAAAGTGGAGAAAATAAAGTCCCACTGACAAGTTATCTGACTAACCCTGGTTTTAGTGAGTACTAATAGAGGGAATGAAAAGTAATACTCCAAAGTGAGAAGAAGGTAATTTTACTTTTCCTAAAGAATCAAATGGTTTCCACTTCTCACTTTACTCTCTAAAGTCCTACCCTCTATTGTCATAGATGTTTTCATTTGGAATTTTTTTCTGCTAATATGCTAATTGCCTCCTTCTGAAAGATCCATGGGAAGCCAGATCAGAAGGTCAAATTCTTTATAAAACCCATCTTCTGCATTCACAGATATGGATGTGGCAAGCAAATCGATCATTTCACCCTCTAAATTGTACTTCCCTCGTTGTCTAATGTATTTTTTAGTCTTTGGGTTTATTTTCTTTAAACAAAACATATAGAATTTTATGTTTCCAAAAATGACCAGCATTTCATCTTCCTTTCAGTTAATTGCTTTGTGTTTCTTCAATGTCAGCTCAGAAATCAACAGTGTGCCATCTCTCTAATAAATTAATTAATTAATATCAATAGAGTATAAAAGGAAACATATAGGAAGAAGGGGAGCTTCTGTCGCAGAAGCTGTTGTGTCCCCTGGCAGGTCCTCGGTACTCACCTTGCCATTGTACCAGATGCTTTCATTTCCCTCTGGATCAACATCATCTGTTGCCAAGGTGAGGCAGACCAGTCTTCGTTTCAGCCCCTTGGCTTTAATCTGTTTCAGTGCTTGCTTTCCTATGAAGTCTGCGGGCTGCAGGAATCCAAGATAATGATGATGAATGAATGCTCAGACATGGTGACAAGGTTAGAGATGCAAGCATTTAAATTTGTCTTTGCTATTTTCTCGCCAATTACACATTAAATAAAAATACAGATTGGATCAAATGTCTAGACAAATATTTCTTAGTCCTCAAATGACAGTATCAGCCACCTATTTCTTCAGAATATGTTAGACTTAAGGATAATAAAGTGTGATGACAATTTTACCACAACCACCTAGGCAGAAAGACATAAGGCATATTGTGATGGTGGATTGTGAAAGTGACTCTTGTATGTCATGGGTCTGGACAGTGACACAGGCTGTCGGTGAGCAAAGTACAACTCAATTTCCACCTATAAGAAGGCTTTTACATGAAGGAAATTCATTTTCTTAATGTGATGCTAAAACAACCCCAAAATGCAGAATATTTTTCCCTTCGTCAGAATAATGGTCCCTGGAATGTATTAACCCACTGGGCTGCATTCATTAGTTCATTCGGGAAATATTTATTGAGCCCCTACTATGTGCAAGGCATCAAGCTAGCTGGGCCCTGTGTGGGGAACAAAAACAGACACAGACATTTGAATCAAAGAGCTTATTCTCCAACACTGTTCTCTTTGACCTTTTTTTTCCTTCTTCTTCCATGCAACACATGACACAGTCCTAATATACTCCTATGGGCACAGTCAGGGTTATTCCCAATGTCACGCAAGTGAGTAAAAGTGACTTTGTTACAGGGATAACCTTGAATCCATTATGTATTAAAAAAAATAAAAAGGTAGGAATCAGACAAACTTGAAGACTTTTGCGTTTTTTAGTAATACAACTTACAACTGAATATAGAGGTGAGCAATTATCCTCAGTGGAGACACTTAGCTAATAAGGGAGATACAACTCTACCCAACCAAATGCCAGGGGACACTTGGTAAGTGTGATAAGCTAGTCAGAGGTGAAGAGAGAGCAAGGAGAGTTCCCTGAGGGATGCTAGGGTGAGGCTTCTCTTATCTTGGTGGGGGAGAAGGAATTTGTGATATACAAATCATATCTCTGAGATTTAATCAGAGATTACAATGTGGAAAGCAAGATTTTCAAAACAGTTCCCATATACAGATTATTCTCTGAAAGAAAGAAAGAAAGAAAGAAAGAAAGAAAGAAAGAAAGAAAGAAAGAAAGAAAGAAAGAAAGAAAAAGAAAGAAAGAAAGAAAGGAAAAGAAAAAAACCAACCACAAACTTTAATTTCTTCACTGGCTGTAAGAATTGGCAGTATTTCTTGCCAAAGATGTCCCCCACCACTAACATTTAGGACTTACATAGTTCTTTCTGCATGTGAAATATTTAGGACTAAGAGCAATAAACCCCCCTAACCTCCCAGAGAAGCAGCAGCAGGGGTCCTCTGCCTGAGACTCCTTTACTTCACTCCTTTACTGATTCAGAGCCTGTAGGAGGAACTCACAATGAAATATTATGTCTATGGCTATTTGAACTTTAAATTACTGACCTACACAGGAAGCTAGTTTCCATGAGGCAACATTAAAATAATGTGCAAAATCAAAGTCCAATACTCCCTCCTTCCTCAGGGTGATCCAGATGGTGAGGACCAACTATAAAGCTTTATTATGAAGCTAGATCACAAAAATTTAAAGAAGACTAGAACTCATGTTATTTCATACAGGACTAATGAGGGGAGAAAAAAAACCTCACAGGAAGAGCTTGATTTATTTGAATTCATGTGTAGGATAAATTCATGATAACAAAAGTCATAAACCAAAGTTCACTGCAGTTAAAACATATATAGTTGACCCTTGAACAACACTGGTTTGAACTGTGTGGGTCTACTTATATTCAGATTTTTTTCAACCAAATGCTGATGGAAAATATGGTATTGGTCTAATCCCCTAGCTATATAGAGTGACAACTATATATCTAAATACAGAAAGAACGCTGTAACAACAAAATGTTTTGCTATCTTGTTAAAAGGAGACTTGCTACCATAGATAAATGACGACAAAGGGTACTTTTTAGAGTTCTTGTCTACGTAGGAGTCAATAACTACAATGAATAGAAGTCTCATGCCTTATTTTGTGGAAAAGCACTTAAAACACCAATACTGAGCTCCAATGCACTATACAGTGTGACTTGTGGAGTGCCAGCAGATCCTAAATTGTTTCTTCACCTCCTGTCATAAAACCTGAATCTTTATTATTGGAGATTCATTTAGATCTTGAAGGTTATTAATCCTTCTGAGTCCCCTATTAAACAATTTTCTTTAATTATTTATTCAACTGTTGTTAAGTACCTGCTGTATATTAGACACTGTGTTAGGCATGGAGTATTTAGATCTTAAGAGAACGTGGTCTTGTAGTTTCAGGGGAGCCCCTGGGGAAATGTGACCCTCCTCCCTACACATCACAACATGCCCAGTCCTGAAATTATTATATCTCCTCAACATACCAGAGGAAAAAAGAACAATTTGAGGTTATTGGAAACATGGTAGAACATGACACATGATAGTATAGGCCACCAATCAGTGATACCAATTTTGCAACATGACTCATGGTTGGTTCTGTTTGTTGTATGAGAGTGTAAAAATCACAAACATTCTATAAATTTAAGACGAAGAATGTCTAATATGTGGAGGCAGAAATGCAAGCTAATAGATGCTACAATAGAGGTGTGGACAGTGGGGACCCAAGGAAGAGTACGACCCATTCTACCTGGGCTGAGGGCAGCATTCTGTTGTACAGAGGAGTTGCTTGAGTTGCGTTTTGAAAGATGAGTAGGTTTCATAATAACTATTGTCTGCGCAGCCTTTTCCACAAGTGCTTGTTCTTACATTATAATTTGGTCTTCACAACAGCCCACAGATGGTGGATTTAGGGTCTAAAAGCAGTGAATTAACTCAGCCTAAGATAGGCAATCAACAAACTGGTTAAGAACCAAGACCTCAGGAGTCCCAGCCCTGTTCTTTTCCTCTATTGAGAGCGACCTTAACTGAGCCACTTCAGCCAGTATCTGTACACCTCTGAAGGAGATGTGGTGAAAGCTGGCCACGACCAAAGTTTTCAGAAAGGGGGCCTTTTGGGGGTGATAGAGGAGAGCTGTGGGGGTAAGTGCCAGGAGAGGGACCAGATGTGTTGGAAGGGGGGCCTAACTCTGCCTTTGCCAAATTCATAATTTTATTGAAGGCTGAGGAGGAACATCAATTAGGTAAGTATCAGCTAATCAGAAGAGAAACAGAAAGGGGGGAGAAAACTTTCTTTACAAAAAAATTACACTAGTAAATTCACTTAAAAATTAATAAGTAACATTTACAATTTATTAGGCACTTGCTATGTGTCAGACACTATGCTGAGAGCATCACATTCATGAGCTCATTTAATTCTCATGACAGCCCTATGAGACAGACATCTGGATTCCCAGTTTATGGAAGAGTAAACTGAGGCTCAGTTACATGGTGATATCAGCACTTTTAGATTTTATCCATATTTTTTAAAATGTTGGGCCTGGAGTCTATCACTGGAAAGCACAGCTGATATTTAATATAAATGCTCTAAATGAAGAATGTTTCTTTTAAATTTCTTCTAGGTCGTCTGAATCAATTTTGAATGACATTTATTACATAATAATATTTTCGTACTATGTGAAAGTATTTTAAAACATCCCTGAAGGTTAATATTAATGAAATTTGACATCTATATCTGTATAACCCCAAATAAAGAAGTGATTTTGTCAGCAACATCATTCTCAGACATGAATGAAAACAATACTCTAACAAACAAAAACAACAAGAAAAACCATTGAAAACAAGGAACACAGACTCACAGCACAGATGGGAGATGGCACCTGCCCCTTGACATAATTCCCCCTTCCCAAACTAAGTAGGCTCCCGACTTAGGAAGATTTAAAGTGAGGTGATGGCATTTCATTCTCATTTTACTTGGCTTTGTTCCCAAGACTGTGGATTTTACTCTACTATATAGTTATTAATTACAAATGAGAAGAAAATGTGTCTGAAGGTTAATGCCGTAGTTAAAATTGGTGCTTTCAGATGACTCAAGAATGGAAATACATTTCTTTAATGAGTCATTGCCAAATTAACTATATAAATAGCTGTTAATGTCTCTGAGAAATGTATAAATTGCTGGGGCACTGAGACTAGAGCCTAAAGATAGTCTCAACTTTCTAAAAAGATTTAGTAATTTTAAGTAGCAATAAGAGCCATTACAACAGCCATTTGTAGTACATTTTAAAATAAATATAACATCCACCTATATGAAAATATTAAGTAGATTTTAAGTGAAATAAAATTACTCATCTCTTATTAGCCCTATTAAAAGCATACATGTTACCTAAAAGAACATGTAAATGAAATAAATCAGTATATTTTTGGTTGTGGTTCTTAGGGTAATGGAGAGTTCTCAGATACGTCGTAGATAAGGTCAAATTTGATAGCAGCAGTGGTAGGAAGGGTCTGACATGGAGAGTTAGGGAAGCAGGCTGTCTGGGATTAGGGCAGAGATTATGAAAATGTGGTCTTGGACCTTTTCTATTCCATCTGTGTGGGGTCAGAACCCATTAGAACCCATCAGAGAAGTCATCAGTTTGATTTAACTTTTTGGCCAAAATCCCATTCACCTAAATATCAAAAGTTCTAAAAACATAAGGGAATCAGTGTAACATCCTGCATCCCAGTTAAGCTCCCCTTGGAAATCAGGCCCGGCACAGGCTGTGGAATCACACTCCTGTGTTTCACAGGCCTGCGGAGAGCTGCAGAGAGATCCTGCTGGTCACCAGCTACTGCAAATAGCAGAGCGGAGATGGAGATCTGGGTGATAAGCTTCTGCCACCGTCCCTCAATACTTTCCTGAAAAGGTTCTCATTTAAAATGGGCTTCATATCATCGTGTAAAATAGTCCTGAGAGGAATCCCTTTGTAAAGCACGTGGGCGTTACTCACCTGCAGTCTATGTCAATCTTAACTTTCTTCCATCAGCTGAACAGCACCCTGTGCACCTGTGCATCCCTCACAAACACTGATAAAGCTGTACACTGGGTTCATGTGGGGGAACGGATTGACTTAACGACCCCTCATCAAGACAATGCATAGCATTATTCACTTCATATTCACAGAATTAGAATCACAGGGGTGCTTAGGCAAGCAGAAAACTTAGTCCAATCTCATTTTTTATGAGAAAACTAAAGCCCAACAAAGTTAAGGGTCTTGGCTACTGTGACAAAGTGAGTTAGCACCAAACCTCAAACCCAGGCTGCTAAACTCTTGGTTTCTTTTCCACTATACAGAGTTTCTTAACATTCCACACAAATTCACAACCACCACAATTTCAGTATCTGTTTGATAGCAAAATGTTAAATTATTAGTTTAGCAACTAAAGTCTGTTATTATTGGCTAGAAAAATGAACACACCCACATACATGTAGTTTTTCATTCTCTGCACTTAGCAATTTAAAAGAAACAACTCATCTAGCATTTTTCTAACCAAAATTACTGACCAGTTAGGAATTCCTTCTCAAAAAAGTCTTTAGTATAACTAGAAAAGGGACCCTATTCGCTAAAAGGAGGGGATAAACTAGAAACCTGGGGAAAATATTTAAAATATTCCTAAGCCAGGCCAGTAATCAGGTTCATTAACATTCAAACCAAACCAGATTATTCAAAACTCAAATAGCCCTCCTTACCTGTGTTTTATGACTTTTACTAGATTTGATATTAAAGAGAATATCTATTTTTCAGTTTTTTAATCTAATGATCCAAAGGAAAACTGCAAAATGGACCTGTGGCCTTATCAGATTTATGTTTAACTGCTTTAGCAACAATTACGTATAGAGTTTTCATAATAGTTTTCATCTCTCTAGACTAGAATGAAGAATAATTGCCCATTTGGTGTTTTAAGCATAGCACTAAAGCCAAAATGCAAAGTAAGTCATTATTAAAGGAAATAAGAAAAGCATGAAGAAATGAGTCCTCAGTAAGGACCCAAGAATTTCTTTGCTGGGGTCTTCAAAAACTGAAAAGATTTCATGTATAGTTGCTTTTCCCTAAATGATTTATTCAGATTCAATTCTATAAGATGGGAAGGTACTAACATTTGGTGAGGAACCAAATATTCTTTATCTCATTTAATACTTATAACAAACTTATGAGGTGAATATTGTCTTCATTTTGCAGATGAGAAAACCAAAGTGCTTACGAATTAAGCAATTTGTTTAGTCTTAGAAGCAGTAAGCGTCAGAGCCACAATTCAATGCTTCAACAAATATCTGCTAAGCCTCTACTAATGATCAGACACACTGGTGGGTCCTAAGGATTCTTGGCCTCTTGTCTAGCTGAGGAGGTGGCCAGGAATGAGAGTGTGATAAGCACGATGGCA